TTACTGTACATGTCATCTATAGAATCACTTTCTTGTCACTGTACATGGCATTTATTCAATCACTTTCTTGTCACTACATATGCCATCTGTAGAATCACTTTCTTGTCTCTGTACATGCCATCTATAGAATCATTTTCTTGTCTCTGTATATGCCATCTACAGAATCACTTTCTTGTCACTGTACATGTCATCTATATAATCACTTTTTTGTTACTGTACAAGCCATCTACAGAATCACTTTCTTGCCGCTGTACGTGCCATTTATATAATCTCTTTCTTGTTACTGTACATGTCATCTACAGAATTACTTGATTGTCACTGTACAAGCCATCTACAGAATCACTTTCTTGCCGCTGTACGTGCCATTTATATAATCACTTTCTTGTCACTGTACATGTCATCTATATAATCACTTTCTTGTTACTGTAAATACCATCTTCAGAATCACTTTCTTGTCACTGTATATGTCATCTACAGAATCACTTTCTTGTCACTGTACATGTCATCTACAGAATCACTTTCTTGTCACTGTACATGCCATCTACAGAATCACTTTCTTGTTACTGAACATGCCATCTACAGAATCACTTTCTTGACACTGTACATGCCATCTACAGAATTACTTTCTTGTCACTGTTCATGCCATTTACATAATCATTTTCTTGTCGCTGTGTATGCCATCTACAAAATCATTTTCTTGTCACTGTACATGCCATCTACAGAACCACTTTCTTGTCATTGTACATGCCATCTACAGAATCACTTTCTTGTCACTATAAATGTCATCATTGTTGCAATGTGTTTTTTTGCGTTCAGAAAATAAAAAAGGGCATTTCCAAATAATAGGTCGGCAGTGAATTTTATAATGGTTAATTGCAGGTCATCCACTAATGAAGTAATAAACAACGTTATTAATTTAGCAATGGAACTTCATAGTAAGTACCCTAATTTTATGAAAGGATTTGACCTTGTATCTCAAGAAGATGACGGCCATCCCCTGATATATTTTTTGGAAGAGCTATTGATACCGACGCAAGCAGGAAAAGATTTGCCTTATTACTTCCACGCAGGAGAGACAAGTAAGCTGATTATATTTAAAATAATTTTTAAAATCTCGAATGCACGTTTAGCGCAGTACGCATCGATTTTACTATCCCATAGACACATGGATCTCCCACTTCTAAGGAATAAACTGCAAAATACTTTATTTTCTCTGAAGGGATGTTCACAAGTTAACTAGGGGTCACAGGTTATAACCTAGGACACAGGTTATGAACTAGGGCACAGGTTATAAACTTGGGCACAGGCTGTAAACTAGGGAACAGGTCATGAACTAGGGCGCGAGTTATAAACTACTTATGGCACAGGTTGTAAACTAGGGCTGAGGTTATAAACTAGGGAACAAGTACTAAACTAGGGCACATGTTATTAAACATGGCACAGGTTATAAACTAGAACACAGGTTATAATCTAGGGCACAGGTTATAAACTATGGCACAGGTTATAATCTTGGGCACAGGTTATAAACTAGGGCGCAAGTTATAAACTATGGCACACGTTATAGACCACGGCACAGGTTATAAATTAGGGCGTAGGTTATAAACTAGGGCACAGGTTATGAACTAGGGCGCAGGTTATAAACTAGGGCACAGGTTATAAACTATGGCACAGGTTATAAACTAGCGCACAGGTTATAAACTAGGGCACAGGTTATGACCTAGGGGACAGGTTATATACTAGGGCACGGGTTATAAAAAATGGCACAGGTTATGAACTATGGCACAGGTGATAAACTAAGGCACAGCTTATAAACTATGGCACAGGTTATAGTCTAGGGCACAGATTATAAACTAGGGCACAAGTTATAGACCAGGGCACAGTTTATAAACTAGGGCATAGGTTATGAACTGGGACATATGTTATAAACTAGGGCACAGGTTATAACTGGGGCACAGGTTCTAAACTAGGGCACATGTTATTAACCAGCGCACAGGTTATGACCTATGTAACAGGTTATGAACTAGGGCACAAGCTCTGAATTAGGGCGCAGGTTATGAACTGGGGCACAGGTTATTAACTAGGGCACAGGTTATAAATTATGACACAGGTTCTAAACTAGGGCGCAGTTTATAAACTGGGGCACAGGCTCTAAACTATGGCACAGGTTATTAACCAGGGCACAGGTTATAAACTAGGGCACATGTTTTAAACTAGGGCACAGGTTATAACTGGGGCATATGTTCTAAACTAGGGCACATGTTATTAACCAGGGCACAGGTTATGACCTATGTAACAGGTTATGAACTA